TAAAATTTAGTTGAAGATCACAATCACCTAACTAAATCCACCCAAAAATCATAATCCATCGTCAACTTTGCTTCAAGATAACAATCACCTAACTAAATCCAATTTGTTCCAAGATTAATTAAAGATGTCTCATAATCCACCAAACATCTTTGACTATTCCCTCAAGATCACAATCACCTGACTAAATCTACCAAAAACTCATGACCATCGTCAAATTTGCTTCATGATAACAACCACCTAACTAAATCCAAATTGTTGTAAGACTAATTGAGAATATATTATCCACCAATATAAAGTAGACATGCTCATACTAGACCTAAAATCTCTTATCAACTATCTTTAACTATCTCCTAAAGATCACAATCACCTAAAACTAAATCCACCTAATCATAATCCCCCACGATATTTCGTTCAAGATAACAATCACATAACTAAATCCAAATACTTTCAAGATTAACTAAAGATCTATTTATCTACCAATATAATAATCATCATGCTCACTTACTAGCCCTAAAATCTGATAATCAACCGAACACCTTTGACTATCTCCTCAAGATCATAATCACCTAACTAAATCCACCTAAAGTCTCACAATCCACCGTAAAATTTGGTTCAAGGTCACAATTATACCTAACTAAATACAAATAGTTTTGAGATTAATTAAGGATATGTCTATCCACTAATATAATAATCATCATACTCGCCTAATAGACTTAAATCCCTTAATCCACCGAACATATTTGACCATCTTTTGAAGATCAAAATCACCTAACTAAAATCCAAATTGTTCCAATATTAATTAAAATTTTGATTTATCCACTAATATAATAATCATCATGCTCAAACTAGATCTAAAATCTCATAACCAACCAAACATATTTGACTATCTCCTCAAGATCACAATCACCTAACTAAATCCATTCCATTCCACTAAGAACTCCTTTTGTCCTGGTATAACTTGGTACTCCCTAGGTGGATGGAATAAAGGGGTGCAACGAGCTGCTTGTAGATTCCACTTCTTCAAACCTTCTTGGTTAGGTATGTAGATGCGACCTCCAAACCAAAGAACACATTGCTTGTCTTTTGATAATGCAGGGCTTTTCCATGCTTGATCATTTCATTGATTTCTTCTATTCTTCTTGATTCAACCTAGGAGTGGGGCTAATATTGAAGTTAGCGAGATAGCCACTATTGACTAGCTCTACGCCAAACTTATCGAAGCCTTTAGGTAGCACTAATTGCTCTGCTTGGTCAAGGCAGGACAGGTACACGACTTCCTGCTGAGAGTATCCACTGTGACACTTATCTGGGTGGTAATGGATATCAAAGTCATAGTGGTTGATTAAATATACCAATCTTCTTTTTCTCATGTTTAAGTTCATCTGAAAAAAGACATACTTAAAGCATGCACTACTACTGCTAGATCCAAATCATGGGTAGGGTAGTTCTCTTCATGAGGACGTAGTTGCCTTGATAGATAGGCTACGAGTCTTCCTTCTTGCATCAAATATAGAACAAAGTCCACGCTTAGATGCATCACAATAATTTTTAAAACTCCTATAAATGTCTGGGGTGGCTTGGTTGACCTTTCTAAACTCTCGAAAGCTCTCTTCACACTTGGGAGTTCATTCAAATGTATTATCTTTCTTCAGGAGTTAATTCATCAATGGTGCTCGAAAGTCTTCCACAAATTTGCGATAATAACCGGTAAGTCCGAGGAAACTTCTAACTTCACATTGGTTTAGCCTTCCACTTGGTTACGGATTCTATCCTTGACAGGTCTATTAGCAAACTTTCTATGGACAAAACATGTCCACATAACCCAACTTTTTTTAGTCAAATTCTATACTTCTTGAACTTGGCATATAATTGGGGTTCTTGGAGTTTGTCCAAAACCATTCTCAAGTGTTGCTTACGATCATCTTCGGGGGGAGGATAGACCAAGAGATCATCAATTTTGATAACCACAAACATGTCCAAGAACTCATGAACATGTTGTTATGATGTTCATCAAATGGTGGAGTATAAGGGTTAGTCCAACGGCCACATCCTTAGGCTTAATATCCAACTTTATTGTCGCGGCTCGACCAAGTCATGGCTTGGTGTTGGTAGGATTGGGTGTGAGGGTGAAAGTTCACCATAACATACTTAAATACCGTTTCTCTAATGCCAACTGTTATGAGGCTCACATGACCCAACTCCCACAAGGTTATCACATACCATCAAAATTGCCATCTCTTCAAATTAAACCAAAATGATGATCTTGTACTCATAACATTCTTGGGGAGGGACACCAAAATCACCTACGTCTAATAACTCTGATCCACATGTATCACATTCATGATTATATCCATATGGGGCACATGCAAGCTACTAAGCTTAGATCAAAAACATCACAAATCCGAGTGCCAAAATTATCTCCATCCTAGAATCCAAGTAGCTATATCATTTAACCTAAAGAAGACACAAGTTGTGCTATTCCAAGATTCTTTTTTCCTTACTATTAATCCAATCCCAGATGCTCCAATAATCCACCATTTTCATAATCATGATTGATGTTGCTAAGTCTCATCTAGCCTAAAGGAAACACAAGTTTTGTTACTTCAAAATGCTTCTTTTCTTACTACTAATCCAATCCCAGATACTCCAATAATCCACCAATTATCAGAATCATGATTGGTGCTGCAAACTCTCATCTAACCTATATAAATCTGATATATCCAAGGTTGATCATACAACACCCTAAAATTGTTTCAAGATTAATTAAAGACATATTATCCATCAATATAATAATTGTCGTGCTCACCTAGTAGCTCTAAAATAACATTCTCTTGTTGGGGTTTATTCCAATCAAAAGTTGTTGGTTCTTAAGTGGTGCTCTTGCAATTCCATAAGTTATGCACATCGATACAAGTCCATGCTTTCAGGCCTTTGCATCTTGAATGTCTCTTGGCGCTAGGTGTATGCGATTTGAACAATCAAACCATTTTAATCTCAAGAATGATGTCGGTAGAGTTCCCGTGATTCATATTGTCCACTCTTGTCACGTGTATGGGGTATCCATCCAGCGAGGGCTCTACACTAGACCAACCAAGGTACTAAATCTAGCCCCATCTCATATTGTGGTAATGTGCTTGCACATGTAAGGTTGGTGACTGTACACTATACCTTTTTGAAAACATCTCCACTTCATCTCCATTTTGTAAGACCTTATTTTTTTAGATTCATTCCACAGGCATTAGTGGCACCCTTGGGTTTTTGTAATACATTTATGAGTAACAAAGATTCTTCCCAAGTCCTAGGATTTATGTGACTTGCATGGCTAAGCAATACTATTAAACTTGCACCTATGACCCACATTTATTTGTGACCAGTGGGTATGTAGTCCTACATTTAGAAATGACGGGTATTAAGAATGTCAAGGGGGTGTCAATATCAAGCACATAGGGCATAGCTAAACCCTAGCTAATTAACTTAGCATAGCAATACTAGTATACAATACTTTATTCATGCAAAATAATTCTAAGTGTGTAATGCAAATATGGGTTCAACATGATCAAAGTAGGTTGCTTGCCTCGCTTAGCAAAGTCTTCAATGCGTCTTCGAGGGGATAGTGTTCGTGATGATTATTTCTTGAAACAAACTAACTTATAATCTCTCGATGGCTGGTGGACTGAAAAGAGGATGTGAAACATATTTGTAACTTGTAAGAAATCAGCGCTAAGCATGTTACCACGGAATAACACAATAAAACATATTGCTCAAATCCAAGTTCAATGATTGCATCTCAGCCTTTTCTAATGAACAAAAATTGCAACAAGACAACATAATTATTCCAAGCTTTATTGAAGGTTTGCACTTTGGGTTCACATTTCCATGACATGAATCTAACGCCACAAATAAGTTTAAACCAAATTTCGCATAGCATCAAATATTTGGTAATTGTCACCACTGAATTCTTTTTCCCTGCTGTTTTGCTAAGTTATTGTATCTATCCAGATTTGTAGTTTAGATCCGACATACAATGTTTGATTATAACAGCACAGTGCGCACTTTCTGAATTGCTTGCACAAATTGGTGCAGACTCTTGGTTCCATCAAACTCTCAGCTCCATGGAACAAGTCTGTAACTACGCATTTAGTGCGGTGATGGGCCTTCCCCATAGCAAAGCAAGTCCAATAGTTCATCTAGCATACTTCCTACTAGACAAATTATGGAATGGGCATAAAAAACGTACCTAAAAACAGCATGTGTACAGCATGCATAGACTTCTCTTGCTCCTTGATGCAGCAGCAGCTCAGCTCCTTTGGCAATAGTTCCTAATTTAATTGTGATAGTCTTATTAGTATATTCATATTTAGAAGCAAAGACTGTCAAATGGTAGCTACTTTTGGTATGCAACAAGATGTTATAATTTACTTTCTCGGTTGTCAAACATGAATGTGGAGCACTTCAGCATGTTTCCACGCCTTATTAAATAAATTTAACTAACTATATAATATTTAATTTCTGCGTTTAATCACTGCACTAAATCATGGCGCAACTGCCCCTCTGTGATATGGTCAATCTTAGAATTATGTTTCCTACAACTTGAAAGGGATAACTTACCTGCTGTATCAATCATATCAACCACTTATATTCTAACATCTCCAATCAGATTCATTACCTGCAATAAAAGCACATGGTCAGTTGTGCTTGTTTAATCTGAGAGAACTGATCACATAAAAGCATGAATAAATAAAACAAGCATGCACCATGTGAAACAGCACATCTCCATATGCATTATTGTAGAATCAGGGGAGAGAGGGGTGGCGGCTGGGATAGAAAGATGGCCTGGTACTGTATTCTATTGGAGTTAGGGTTTCCTGTACAAGGGGGCAGCACATATATAGGCTGCAGGGTTACATGGGCCACATGGGCCACATGGGCCACATGGGCCATAAGCGCGCGCGCACACACACACACTGAAATACAGATAAGACACAGCCCAACACTCCCCCTCAAGAGGGATGATAGATATCTATCATGCCCATCTTGTCACAAGCAAGATTGTTCTCCCTGGTTCCCAAACCTTTTGTCAAACAATCGGCGACTTGTTGTCCAGAGCTCACATGAGTTATCTTGATGATTCCTGCATCCAGTTTCTCTTTGATAAAGAATCTGTCTATCTCCACATGTTTTGTTCTGTCATGTTGCACTGGATTATTAGCAATGCTGATTGCAGATTTGTTGTCACACCACACATTCAGAGGATCTTGTCTGAGCACTTTCAGCTCAAGCAGAAGGCCTCTTACCCATAACATCTCACTCAGCCCTTGAGACATTGCCCTATACTCAGCTTCTGCAGTTGATTTTGACACCACCGGTTGTTTTTTGCTTCTCCATGATACCAAATTTCCACCAACAAACACACAATAGCCAGAGGTTGATCGTCTATCATCAAGACAGCTAGCCCAATCAGCATCGCTATAACCGTCAACATTCAAATGGCCATTACTCTTGAACCAGAGTCCCATACCAGGGCTGCCCTTTAGATACCTCATGATTCTATAGACTGCATCAAGGTGTCCACTTCTGGGGTCATGCATATATCTACTTACTACACTTACTGCATATGTAATATCTGGTCTAGTGTGACACAAGTACAGAAGTTTGCCAACCAATTGTTGATATTTTGCTTTGTTAACTTGTTCACCCATCTGTGCTGTCAATTTGTGATTTTGTTCAATGGGAGTTGGGGCTGCTCTACATCCAAGCATTCCCATATCACTTAGGAGCTCTAAGGTATACTTCCGCTGAGACAGGGCTATTCCCCTCTTTGATCTTGCAACTTCGATACCCAGGAAATATTTTAGCTGACCAAGATCCTTAACTTCAAATGCTTTGCCTAGGCATTTCTTTAGTCTTCCAATCTCCTCTTCATTGTCTCCCGTTATTATGATGTCATCCACATATACTGCAAGAATAGTAATCTGTTGCTTGGAATGTTTATAGAAAACAGTGTGATCTCCATTGCATTGTTTATACTCCATACTGCAAACTGCTTGCCTGAACCGGTCAAACCAAGCCCTTGGCGATTGCTTCAAACCATAGAGAGATTTTCTCAATCTACAAACCTTCCCAACAGTCCCAGGTGTAGAAAGTCCAGGAGGAATTTCCATGTAGACTTCCTCTTGTAGATCTCCATGTAAAAAGGCATTTTTTACATCAAGTTGGTGTAGTGGCCATCCAAAGTTAGCTGCACATGAGATTAGAATCCTCACTGTATTCATCTTTGCAACTGGGGCGAATGTTTCGTCATAATCAATACCATACGTTTGGTTGTACCCTCTGGCTACCAGTCTTGCCTTGTAACGCTCAACCTTACCCTCAGGATTCTGCTTCACTGTGAAGATCCACTTACAACTGACTGCCTTCTTCCCATATGGAAGATTTGCTAGCTCCCATGTTTTGTTCTTTCTCAGGGCCTCCAACTCTTCCCTCATGGCTTCACACCACTTTGGATCTTGTCTTGCTTCTTTCCAGTCTTTAGGAACAATCACGGCTTGAAGTGATGCGACAAATGCTCTAAATGAAGGTGATAGGGCTTCATAGGTGACATAATTACTGATGTCATGCTCAAGATTGCCCTTGCTCAAAGTTTTCCTTGCTACTTCCTTCTTGAGAGCAATTGGCAGGTTAGGTGATGCTTCTTCAGTACTTGAATTTTCATATGACTCCACTTCAGATGAGCTTCCTGTCGCTTGAGTTTCTTCTGACTGCTCCCCCTGTTCCATAGTTTCTTTTGACTGCTCCTCATGCACTTGTTCCTCCACACCTCTCTTCCTTCTTGTATACACCTGAGGATTCCTTTCCTCATTTGGTCTCTGCCACCTCTGCTGTTCCGCCCCATCAACTACAATTGGAATGAAGGATCCCACTATTTTCGGGGTTGGTATTGGCTGCTCCTTGTCGCCATTGGTGCTGCACTCACCACTCAAGTTGCACTCCCCCTCTTGACCACCCTGCATAGATTGTGAGTGGTCAAGTTCTTCGAATAAAGTGCTGAGATCTGTCTTCTCACCATAGAAAGGCTCAGATTCTCGAAAGGTGACATCCATACTTACAAATGTGTGCCTTTCAGCAGGACTCCAACACTTATAGCCTCGCTGCCCTGCAGGATATCCAACAAATATGCATTTTACAGCTCGTGGATCCAGCTTTCCCACTGCTGATCTGTGATCTCTAACGAAGCAGGTGCACCCAAATAACTTTGGAGGAACTGAGAATTTATTCTTCCCAAATAGCATCTCACATGGGGACTTCATACCAAGCATTTTTGAAGGCATCCGGTTGATCAGGAACGTTGCAGTCATGACAGCTTCACTCCACAAGAATTTTGGCACATTCATGGTGAACATAAGTGATCGAGCCACTTCTAAAATGTGTTGGTTTTTCCTTTCTGCAACACCATTCTGAGCAGGGGTATCTGGACATGATGTTTGGTGCATTATGCCTTGTGCTGACAGGAAACCTCCAAATTGCTTGTTTACATATTCAGTTCCATTGTCAGATCTGATCACCTGCACCTGCACATTGAATTGGTTTCGCACATAGGCATAAAACTCCTGAAAACATTGGAATACCTCATCTTTATGTCGCATGAGGTACACCCAAGTCATGCGAGTGTGGCAGTCTATAAATGTCACAAAATATTTCATTCCACTAACAGAAACAACAGGACATGTCCACACATCAGAGTGAATCAGCATAAACGGGGATATACTCCTTAGCCCCTTACTCAAATATGAGATTCTTGTGTGCTTTGCATATTCACATGCATCACACACAAGCTTACTCTTGTCTACTCCACGCATTACATCAGGAAACATCTTACTCATCTTATCAAAAGCCATATGCCCCATGCGACAGTGATGGATCATCGCCATTGTCTCACTTACTCCAACTAGTACAGCCAAAATAGGACTAGCACCAGACCTAGACACATCACGATCCATATACCACAATCCACTACGCCTGGTTCCTGTCCCAAGTTTCCTTCCAGTCATCCTCTCCTGAATCAAACATATTTTCTTATCAAGAGTTATTCGGCAATCTATCTGATCAATCAAAGCACTTAGAGAAAGCAAGTTCACAGGAAAAGCTGGAACATGTAATACATCAGATAATTTAATAGTGGGTGTACATTGAACTGATCCAACTCCTTTAATCGGTTGTGAGGTGCCATCGGCAGTTTGTATTGTTTCACAATGTGTAATTGGGTACTGAGTATATGATTCAAACTCAGTTGAGGTACCCGCAACATGCTTGGATGCTCCAGAATCTAATATCCAATCTGGAAGGAAATCATGTGTGGATATAGATGCATTTGCAAAGTTACCTTCCCCTGTGTAGACAAAGTGGGCAAAGTTCCCGAAGGTGTTGTCCTCCTGGCTTCTACTCTTCGACTCCCCTTGAGGGGTTGTTGACGTCCCTTCTTCTTGCGTTGCCAAGTTAGCCAAGTTTGCTTTGAAGCCACTGGAATAATTCGAACCCCTCGAGTTACCTCTGCCTCTAACTCCCCGGTATCCACCTCGGCTGTAACCTCTTCCCCTACCACGTATTTCTCTGCGTTGTGCTGTGCAATTGATGCTTATGTGACCTTTCTCTCCACAGTTGAAGCACTCTCTTGTCTCCTTCCATTCAGACACAGTAAATGCTGAGCGAGATGCATTCGCTTCTCCAGTCCTTGTCAACTTCAACATGACCTCCTCCTGTGCCATTGCTGCAACTGCCTCCTCAAGCGAGGGGACCTTTGGCTGATGAAACAACCCAGCACGCCTTCCTTCAAATTCTGAGCTAAGTCCCTTCAAGAATTTCATCACTCTCCTACGCTCTACCCACTTCTTAGTAGCAACTATACATTCTGAATGTGGTAACTCCAGTGGATCATAGTGGTCTAAGTCAGCCCACAAATGCTGCAATTCTGCTACATACTCCATCACCGACTTATCCCCTTGTTTTAGCTCATTTACTCTATCCTCAATCTGCGCCATAAGCATTATGTTCCCTTTCCCGGAGTACAATGTTTCCAGGGTTTTCCATACCTCTGCTGCATGGGGAAGAGTCTCCACGGCTGCTGCAATGGATGGGGTCAAGGAGTTCAGCAGCCATGCCACCACCAGAGAGTCAATGACACTCCACTTCTTCCACTCTTCACTTGCCCTGTTCGCCGGTTCATCTACTTCCCCTCTGACATAGCCTTCCAGCCCCTTTGTCCTCAATATTAGCAATGCCCTTCTGGACCAGCTTAGGTAGTTTGTGACCCCTTCCATCTTGATTTCATTTGGCATCAGTTCTATTTTCTGTATCACCTCGGGCTGAGGAACAAGCGCACCTGGGGAAGCCACACCCTCTGCCTTGACAGTGATGAGCTCAGCTAGCTTCTCCAACGCCTTTACCAACCCCTGGTTGTCCCCCATCTTTCCAATCTTGAATCACACCACTAGCAACCTCCAGCAACCACTGCTCCCCACTTTCACCTCTCTACTACCTCCTCCCCTCAGATCTGGGATTCCACCTCTCCTTCTTCCACACAAGCCTTCTCCTCTCAGACAATCGCCAGCAAGCACAACCAGCCAACCACCATCACCACTGCTGGGATTGGGAACCCAAGCTCTGACACCATGTAGAATCAGGGGAGAGAGGGGTGGCGGCTGGGATAGAAAGATGGCCTGGTATTGTATTCTATTGGAGTTAGGGTTTCCTGTACAAGGGGGCAGCACATATATAGGCTGCAAGGTTACATGGGCCACATGGGCCACATGGGCCACATGGGCCATAAGCGCGCGCGCACACACACACTGAAATACAGATAAGACACAGCCCAACAATTATATATTTCCATCAGATTGACTAGGAGTGGATAAACCATAACTAACTACAGAAGAGCCTCAATGAGTATTTTCTTACTATGCATCCTAGTTAGCTGCTCATTTTAATGAGAGAATTCTTAACATAATCATCAAACTCTGATAAATCCTTCTGTAATATGTCAAAATAGAAAGGAGAGCTTCATTTTGTGCCTGCAGCAACAGCAACACTTCCAATGGCACATACCAATCACGGAAAGAAATAGCATCCGATGGGCACACAGGCAGCAGCAGGGTGCAGACGAGGAGGGCTTATTTCATCTTACATCTCGGCGTAGTGGAGGAGGCGGAGGTAGGCAGACGAGCTTCTTCACCTCCGGCGACCGTGCCGCAATGTTCTTTCTTGACCACCTGCGCCGCACGCGAATCAGTTCGAGTTTCCACGGCGCGAGAGGACGGGAGGAACCGAAGCGAACCTGCGCTCGACGAGGGCTGTATGGAAGCGCTTGACCCCGTCGATTCTGTCGGCGCCGAGTCGAGGAGCGCATGCGGTCGTCGTCGTCGTCGAGGGAGGGGCGCCTGCGGTCGTCGTCGTCGTCGAGGGAGGGGCGCCTGCGGTCGTCGTCGTCGAGGTGCGCGTCCGCCCCGCCACCCGATACCCCCACGCGCCGCTAGCCTGTAGCCGGGACATGCCCAGACCCTCTCCGGCCGCGGCCTCGCGGATCTCGGCGGCCGCCGTGTGCCGCTTTGGACCGTTGGGAGAAATTGGATCTTTTGCCCCACTTTACTTCTTTATTGGATAATTTGCCCCCTCTAAGAGGCTACCAGGTGGGGCCCGGGCCACTGACAATCAAAGGGCAAATCATTCAACCCCTTGTAAAGTGGGGCAAATTGGCTTTCCGCCTTCTGGTTTGCGCTATCTATAATCTGGGCCGGCATTCGAGAGGGCCTGATGGGCCGGCATCTCTTTGGGCCCACGTCCGCGGCTGTATGTATAGGAGACGCGCCACTGTACTCCTCTCTTGCATCGACCTGCGTCTCCTCCCCAAATCCGTCGCCGGCCGGAGTGCCGCCGCCTCCGCCGCCGTGGCTCTCCATGAAGACGAGGCATATTCTCTCCTCCTCCCGTCCAACCTCGTCGCGTCATCCCGTGCGGACCGTAGGTTCAGGTCAAGGTTAGTGAGCATGGGGAGGAGGCGACTGCCGACGGCCGGCCACCGTGGGAGGAGGAGGAGCGTTGGGCTTTCTCATCGGCGCGTCTACGTAGACCCCCACGCCGGCGGCGAGTGCATTGACGGCGGGCGCGGTCGAGCGGGAGGGACGCCGGCCGACCGGCTGCTGCTGCTACGGGTGAGATGAGATGCGCCTATCTTTTTTGTCCCGCACCGTCCGATTTATAAGCATTTCCCTCGGGACAGCCATCAGCGAGTAGCAGTAGAGTAGAGAATGAGTGTACGGTTTAGTATAAGGTATAGGATAGGGTTAGGGTTCAGGGGCGAGGGCAGAGAGGGGAGCTATGCCTCTCAGAGAAAAAAAAAAGTAAGTTATATTGAAATTTGAAATGCAGATTGGAAATACTAAGGGATTTTATTTTCTTTTGAAACAGGGGTCTTTTCACGACTTGGCTATTATTCTGCACCAGATCCTCTTCATCTTCTCCACTAAGCAAACACTAGAATAAAAGATGGAGTTAATCTTCCTTTTAAGGAACGGATCTGCTCCATTCCTGTAGTCTTCACCGTAACCAGCGCCCCTGCTCTAGGTGCCCTCGGAAAATCAGTTTGCTGGAGGGATGAATTTGAAGCACCTGCCGTCGACACACGTCGTACCGGCCCCATGTCATTACCACCATCGTTTTGGACAGGGCGATGAAATGCGGATGAAGCATCGACCCGAAGCTTCCCCGAGCGCCGATGAAACACTACACGACGTTGTGCCTCCAGGTCGTGTACGCGCTGTGCGGGCTGCGGCCAAAGCTGCGGTGCCATCTCTGGCCGATGCCCGCTGGATCAAGAACAAGTCCCCCCCTGCTTTGTTTCCTTCGACAGTGATGAGTAGCAGGTAACTATGTCATCCCTGATTATATCTCGCAAATTAACCTGTTTCTGCTAAGTTATTGTACTGGGTGAAATTTAAGTATATTGGTTTCTCATTTTGTCAGATTCGGCCGCAAGCTACTTGACGATTTGCGGCAGATTGCAATTGCTATTTGTGCTTTCTTCCTGCATAGGTCACTTGTTGGTCACGTTTGTAGGTAAATATTGCATCTCTGAAATTTATTTAAATTGAATGAACGCATGACATGTGCCTTATGTTTATTTCAGTACGCAAGACTACATAGGAATATGATTCCCTCCATTCCATGCAATGCATGGTTAGAACAAATCATGTACAACCAAGGATTACACTTTATTATCCCTTCCATTATGCAAGTCATAATGGTTCGTCAATTAATAAGAATAGGTTTCGACTAATTTAGGTATTCATATACGTGAGACAATCATTTTGTCTTTTCGTCCATTCTACACAGGGTGGACGGACTGCGCATACGGTGAAATGGTGACAGCCTCATGCCCCGTCGCCATCTCCTGCGTAGTTGTTGTAGTGGTATCTCGACCATTCCAAATGACGCACACTACTCAGCTTGCCCGTTTTGGAGCAGCAAGTGAGCACTCACGCATCCATCCGAGATTCCGAAAACTTCGTGGTCCTCGATTTTGACTTTGAGAAGTTCTGCTCAATCTCTTTAACAAATTTGATTGTGTATGCATGCCTAGTTTGTGGGGAGTATTGCCAACGAAGAGTCTTTAAGTCATATACCCACCGCATTGAGTCAGGCCGCCATCTGTTGATTAACCCTCAAACTGAGAATATTCAGTTTAACATTTTTACTGGTTGGTATGATGTGGCTGGTTTGCGATAAAGCCGGTTATAAATCTTCACAAGAACAAGCGTTGTTTTGAGTGTTAAACCATGAGGAGCACAACAGTTAACTCTCTGTCCATGATTATGTTTTAACTGTTTCCGACCTGCGAAAAGAATTGGTTTCCTGATCTCCTCGGTTTTGCTTTTGCATGTGGCTGTTCCTACAACAATATTGATTTTCATAGTGGTGAATGTGTTACATGTGTATCCCATCAAATTAACTGACATGTTTATGAAATAGCCTCTCCTCGTAGGTGTATTCTAGAGCTAAATAACCTCCATAAAACATTCAGGCCTACTGTTTAGGCTATGCTTCTTTTGTGTGTGCTCCATTTATGATGTACTGAGAGTGCTCATTTGACCAGTTAAAACCTTCTTTGCAAGTGATTCCCTACTAGGAGCAGTAAAGTAGAGATAGGGTAATAGGGTATAGGATACACTCATGTCGAAAACGACGGGTGCTTTTCCGTTGCTATTGGTAGAATAGCATCAGACTGAATGTATACCTTCTTGTGCTGGGAGTTGCATTAGATAATGAGGACTCCAGTTATATATTTTTACCTTACCTTTGCTTAAGTTGGTACGTGTTGATTCAGATCACTGACTTGCTTCTTTGGGTCTTATAACTGTAGGTTTCAAGATGTCAACCAGCAGGTTTGCAACCTCCCTGCGGACTCTTCAGCAATGTTCGGAAAACCGATGCCTCCTAGAAAGCGGCCAAGAGCCGCCCTTGGTCTCTAAGCATCTTCAGCCGAGGCGTGCTGCAGGTTCTGAGCCTGAAGTCCTCCTCCAGGAAGCTGGATATCTCTGCTATGGCCGTCTACGAGGTGAAGCTGGTGACCCTGGAAGGGCAGGAGCACGATTTCGACACTGGACGACACCTGCATCTTGGATGCCGCGGAGACGCCAGCGTGGAGCTGCCCAACTCGTGCCACCTGGGGGCATGCTCCACCTGCGCCGGCAAGATCGATTGCGGCACGGTGGACCAGTCGGACGGTTCGTTCCTGGACGACGCGCAGCAGGAGGAAGGCTACATGCCGACCTGCGTGTCGTACCCCAAGTCGGACTGCGTCATGCACACCCACAAGGAGGGCGACCTGTATTAGGGGCCTCGATTGTCCTTTCGTCGTTAGTCCAGTTTCATTAAGATAGGGAGAACCCATGGAGATGCCAGCAAAGGCAGAATAAGGAACATCTGTGATGGCATAGAATGCAGCTTCATGTGTTTTTGCATATAATTTTTGCTGCTGTTTTTGCCGGGTCATCCTGACGTCTTTGTTGTTTGCCTGCCTTGTCCAATGGCTGGGGTTCACTAATGCTTATGGCATCGATAGTAGCAATTTGTATCTGTGGCCGATGTTGGGTCGGTAAATTAACATATATCTTGGCTTGCAAAATTTTAGCGGTGAAATCGATCGACCTGAAGATGTTTATTTCCTCACCCAGATTTGTTACAAGGTAAGCAATGTCCCTGGGCTGGGGCTTACTAATGCTTCTTCTGCTATTTTATTCAGGTGAAGCCACAGGCATCATGCATTTCCTTTCTGAAAAAGAAAACAGGTAGCATGCATTTCAGTTCAGGTTTTTACGTCAATAGATGCACCTGACTTGTTTGCATGCTGCAGCAAACTGAATTCCTGTGAAACCAAACTATTTAGTTCAATTACCTAGTAAAAATCAAATGAGTGGCACAGAAATGAATCATTATTTCTGAATATCTGTTTGCGTCACAGAATTCAGTTCTTATGCGCCAGCGAGCATGCCGATGCTTAAGCAGGCATTCAGCTATTCCCATAAATTCAGTAATAACCAGATAACCAGAGTTGAACAACTAAAATTCAAATGGCCAAACGTTTCAGAAGAGTAGACAAGCAAACATCAGCCAGACCATCACGGATACAGACACAGTACCACCACAACTATCTCGGCCAGCATGGCAATCTGACACAGGTTGAAGAATGCAGGATCTACATGAGCATGTCCTGCTTACAGAGGTAGCAGAGTGGACAGTAGCTGTTTGGAGTAGCTTATAAGTGAGGTGCAGACCACACTATTTGATGGATTTTGGGTTGTATATATATGATCTGGATATTATTCGGCGGTTGTATTGATAACAGGTGTATGCGCCGCTTCTACCCCTGAAACTCTCTGCCACACATTCGAGTTGTTGTGGTCGATTTTATCAAATCCTGTCGTCGGATAATTTTATTAATCTGTACGAGTTCTTCCCGTGCAATGTGATGTCTGCCACTCAATGCAAAATATTTTCTACTGTAATAGCCTCTTTTTCATGTGCATAGGTAAGTTTTATGTACGAGGGAATGGGCGCAGCGGCGTTTGCTTGATTCGTGCTGCAAAAGGTTAGATTTGAATCCAAGAACACACTAATTGCAACTGCCCAAGAATTTGGTACGTAGTATCTAAGGAATCTGAAATCAAAATCTCTCTGACATCAACACTCCAATTCCAGCACAGTTCTTACAGTGGGATAACATGGTTACAACAAGTCAGCATGTAATTCTTCAGTTGACAGCAAAGCGATAACACGAAGAAGCATCGCTCTAGAGCCACATCTTGTTTAGTTACAATTGGACAGCAGCAACTCACATTTCAATTTCCTCAAAAACAACTTGCATTTGCCTTTTAGTTCAAGTACTCCCTCCGTAGAAATTAAATCGCTGACACAGAAATGCGCCATCATTTCCAAATCTTGGTTTGCATCACAGAATTCAGTTCTTCCGAGCCAACCGAAGCGTCAACGGGCGTTCAGCAACTCCCATAAATTAGGGAAACGGTTGTAGCCGGCGGACCGGCCGAAGCTTCGGCCGGTCACGCGCGGGTCGTTGGATGATTAGCGATCGAACCGCTGTTTAGCCACGTCTTCCACACAGGGGATCAAACGCGTGGCTGTTGGGGCCCATGCACCGCCCGCGACCTTATCCCTTCGCTTCCATATCCACTCGCATCTCCTTCCCCATCCACCAACAGCCGGGGGCGCGGTCGTCGCCATGACTGCCGGCCACTGGATGCGCCTCATTTTGAATCGTGTGCAGATCACCCGCACCGGATGCATCCCTCTCCATGGCCGTCCACGGCCAGGGGCTTGCTCGTCGCCTTGTCCGCGGTAACTGGACGCACGCCCTCTCCATGGCAACCGCAGCCAGAGCTTCGCTAGTCGCCATGACCAACCTGCAATCAGCCGCGGGGGCGACGAGTTTGTGCTGGAGCCGGGGATTGCTGGAACCAGGTTATTTTTTTGCTGGATCCACCCACTTTTTTTGCTACAACCCCTTTCTTTTTTGCTACCATCCCCATTCGATTTGATGAACTCTTTTCGTTTTTTGCTGGAACCGGTGTCCCGATTTGCTGGAAGCAGTTGGTGGACGTGCTGCAAGGTTGACAGCTCACAGGAGGAAGCTGCATCCAGCGGCGAGGAGGGCTGCATCCAATGTCGTTCAAACGCCGGGAGTTGCAACCATGTACGCCGGAGCTACAACCGGTGACCGGGGGTGTTGCAAGAGGGAGTGGCCGTTTTTGCTGATGCGTCTTTTTTTGGTGAACCAAATTTTTGTTTTTTGCTGGAACCGATGAATTTCTTTGCTGGAATAGATATAATTTTTTGCTTCATCGGCTGCAGAGCTCTCAAATGTTTCATGTTGTTTTTGCTGGGGCCTAAGTTTGGTTTTGTTGGAACCGTTGTTCGATTTTGCTGGAAGCGTTGTTAGATTTTGCTGGAAGCGTTGTTCGTTTTGCTTCAACCGACCACCGGAGTTCTGTAGGTACGATGCATGTCGATGGAGGCTAGCAGAGATGGCGACGCCTGCGCCGAGCTCGACGACGGGGACCAGACGCTGCAATCGCGGGGGCGGGAGGGGGGGGGAGCGGCGAGCTCGCCGGGAGCGCACACACAACGGTGGAAGGAGGATGGGTGGGAGATTTTTTTCTGAAAGCTTTGACCGAAGGAAGAACGAGTCGGGGGTTGAGTTGCCAGATCGGACGGTTCCGGCTCGCTACATCGGACGGTTGGCGTTCGACCGGCCCAACAGTTGGGCCGGTGCGCCAGCGCAGATCACCGCCCCATAAATTAACAGTGATGCAGTACTGCTCACAGATAGCAACACGGTTTGAACAACTAAAATACAAATGGCCAAACATTTCAGAAGAGTAGACAAGCAAGCATCAGTCAGACCATCACGGATACAGATATAGTACCACCACAAGTTCAGTTCTAGATAGATATCAGTCTGCCAAATGCAACAACTTCAGTTCCTACAGCCAATCAGCCAACGAAGCGTTGGCGAGCACCCAGCACACAGACTACCAGCACTACTTGCAGAGTGACAAGCAGAGTCGACACTACAGATACAGATACCAACTAGAGGCGACGGACGCATCAGTCTAGGAGGAGGTGAACTTGGTGACGGCCTTGGTGCCCTCGGAGACGGCGTGCTTGGCGAGCTCGCCGGGGAGGACGAGGCGGACGGAGGTCTGGATCTCGCGGGAGGTAATGGTCGGCTTCTTGTTGTAGCGGGCGAGCTTGGCCGACTCCCCGGCGAGCTTCTCGAAGATGTCGTTGATGAAGGAGTTCATGATGGACATGGCCTTGGAGGAGATGCCGATGTCCGGGTGCACCTGCTTCAGCACCTTGAAGATGTAGATCTTGTACGTCTCCACGCTCTTCTTGGCCTTGCTGCCCTTCTTCCGGCCCCTCGTCTTCGCCTCGCCCTCCTTGGCCGCCGTCTTGCCCGCCGGCAGCCGCTTCTCGGCCTTGGGCTTCTTGCCCGCGGGGGCCTTCTCCGCCGCCTTCTCGACCTTGTTCTCCGCCGCCGGCTTCTTGTCTGCCTTGGGGGCCATGGCTGCTGCTGCTTCGGAGGTGGGAGAGGGAGAGGTGTTTCGCTGGGAGGTGGGGAATTGCAGATGGGAACAGAGGCGGGGGTGGGGAGGGTATATAGCGGGGAGGAGGTGCGCGCTGATTGGTGGAGAGGCCGTTGCCGCGGATCGATGACGTGGGCGGAATGGTAGGCACCAGGAAACCAGCCGTGGCTGGCGGGAGTTTTGGAATTTTTCCGCGGGGTACCGCACCACCGTCCGGTTTGGCAGCGACTAAATTGATTCATAATCAACAATGCTACGATTGATCCATGTTGATACAGTAAGAGAGCCCGAGAGAATACAAATGTGCTGAGATTTTGCAGAAGACACTCCGGGTAAAGGAAAAAGTGCTTGGTCTATGGAGGCCCTTGTAGATGCCGATGAAACCGCTTACCATCAGAAAACCAGCAACGCCAAGGCGTGCACCGAAGATCCATCGAATCTGGAATGCACCGTCGCATAGGGCTTTTCTGAGCCGGTGAACAGGGCCGGCATGAGCAACATAGCCCTCGTCTTTGTGATGAGTCTGCGGGGGATTTTCCTCATGCTTCCCAAATCCGACGCATCAAGCCAGACTGGTCGGAGAATGGCCTCGAATATGCCTTCGAGCAACCACTTGTCCAATTCCAACATAGCCGAAAACTCGCACGTGCCAACGCCGACATCAACTAGGACATCAATCACCTAGTGGGGGTGGAGTTTGTGCAATTGGAGGATACGATTAGGGTTTCGTGAGCATAAGGAGTTCCATAACTGACGAGGTCAATGGTGTCTGCACACTCTATACAAGGGCGGACCTATGATTGGGCCAAGCCCAGGGCCCCAGGCTGCTGCAGTGCCACTCCAGTG